TGACCTTAGCTTTGGTCAGTGTTCATAGCCATATTGCAGCACCTGCCACTCTGCCATATTTACCTCAATATGAACCTGACTTTCTAAAGGTAAAGTGCTACACCTCAGCTGTCTTCATATTTTCAGTGGTCAGTTTAATGCTTGGCACATGCAATATCTATTTATACACACACACACACATATATAGTATATCTATATATATATATGTCATATACATATAAAATATATATAAATGTTTCAGCAACCAAGGAGGAAAAGTTTAAAAAGATACAGAAGAGCAACTTTGGGATTTTGGAGAATATCTATTAATTTATTAAATAAAAGACACTTTATAGCATGCACTAGGACTCAATCTGAGTTCTTTGGTCAAATTCAGGAAAATGAACGCTGCTTTTAAAATGCCTTTGAAGATATGGGAATCTCAGAGAAGAATGCATCACACTATTACAAATACTTATTCTAACTGCTTCTCTCCTTTAAATTTACTAAATTATTTAAATATTTTAACTATCTGACTATTGTTTAATAGATTTCATTCATGTCCTTTGACATGAGACTAAGGGAGAAGACTCATAGGGGCAGAAACTCATATGTATTTCTATTTGTTACCATATTTCCGTGTCCAGGGATGGCATATAACAAATATTTGTTAGTTGGTAAACTAAATAAACCTATCATATGAGTCAAAGAAAAGAAGCTAATCAGACCCAAACACATCAGCAAAGTCACAGATTTTACTTTATACACATTTTTATCATAAAAAATTAGAAATTCACCAAGACTACATAAATACATGAATTAACCCCAGTGACCTGACTACATGTATGGGTCAGTATAAGTGTCATGTGCAAATAAAAGAGTCAACATTCTAGAAAAAACTCATACCATAGGCTCTCTCATTGGTTCCTCAATCAGCTGTGACTTACACATATTTGCCATGCCTGCTTACATGGACTTGCAGATCTCACTTAGTTTTAGATAGATTAACCTTTATAACACAGGTAACTTACTAAAATATTACTGGAAAGATGCAGAAGCTTAAGATAACAGTAACAGTGCTCCCCCAAACAGCAGCACCAAGGACGTCGCAGAACTGGCCCTTCTTGTAGCAGCTCATCACAGCCTGGCTGTGACGGCAGGACAAGGGCTGCAGAGGCTTGAGGAACTTAGAAAACTGGACACAGTGAGTGTCCCTTCAAGGGGAAGGCAGAACTTCAACATTAAGGAAAATGGGTTACTGAATTTGAAAACATAATACTCTATTTATATTTAGAAGAACATTAAAGTGTTGTTTTGTTATTTTTGTTTTGCAGTGCCAGGATCAAACCCTGAGCCTTCCACATCCAGATCTTTTTAACAGACATGCTGAAATGCTTCTACTATCATATTACCTGGGGTTTAAAATTGTGTCTATGTACAAACTACTAAATTGCTCACATGTACACACCCAAACTACATGCCAGAACTTTACAACTAGATTTTACGATGTCACTGAAAGAGTTTGCTGAAGATTATGAGCTTTTAAAAAATGTCTAACACTGGGAATGATGGTGCATTAAACTGGAGTTTAAGGCCAGTTTAAGCTACAGAGTAAGACCATGTCTCAAAAACAAAGCAAACAAAACCAAAAGCTAATAATGCAGCACCTTTCAACCAGTCCACAAGAACTGACTGGCATAGGAAAGACAGAGACGTATTACCTGTGTTGCAAATAAACTTGGATAGAATTCTTGCATAGAACCTAAAAATGAGTATTATGGTTTAGTGAATACTTTTATTTTTTTAAAATGGGAATAAGGATATAGGTCAGTTGTAGAGCACCTGTTTGTATGCATCTATCTAGGCGCATGCTTTTTTAGTTTCAACACTTGGGAGACAGAGGCAGGTGAATTTCTGTGAATTCTTTGTGGAACATAACATGTTCCAGGCCAGTCACAGCTATATATTGAGACACTGTCTAAACAAACAAAACATACAGGACTTACAATCAGATATTTAAACTTCCATACTACAAGTTATTAAAGCAAAGTTTAAAAACAACAATAACACCCAGTTGAATTGCTTTTACCAAAAGTAAAATTATCAATATAAAGAAACACAGTTTTTAATACCTTTCATGAAAATATTAAAATATTTAAAATTCATTTCATTTTTATTTTTCTACTTTCATTTAGGTTTATAATATAAATAACAGATTAGTAATATATTAATTTTTTTATATTTTTTTGTTGTTGTTTTGTTTTTTAAGACAGGGTTTCTCTGTATAGTTTTGGTGCCTGTCCTGGATCTCACTCTGTAGACCAGGCTGGCTTCGAACTCACAGAGCTCCACCTGGTTCTGCCTCCTAAATGCTGGGAATGAAGGCATGCGCGACCACCACCCAGCAATTTTTTTATAATTTTAAAGAGACATGCATTAGTGGGAATGTATGTTCACCAATGTTTAAAGATGACTATTTTTAGATATCAAGAAACCATTTAAAAATGTTAAATGTAAAAGAATAAATGAATGTGATGTGAATTTTAGAAACATAATCTTGGGGACAGATGGCGATGAAAATATTGGAAAGTTAAAGGTGTTTTTAAACATCTGTTACTACATTAACAGCAGAAAATATCACAAAGGTCCTCTACTTCTGGGCCCCTTCTGAGGGCACACGGGTAAGACTTTAACAGAAGCTTTCTGCAGAGCAAGGTCTATTCTGTAGGTCAGCCCAGAAGGCAACAAGGGCCAAACCAAAGGCAAGATGGAGCCATAAAAGGATAACTTGAAGCAGCTCTAGGCCCCTGTGACCACTGAAAAGTTTAGTATTTTTCTGCAGACTATGATCAGGTCAGAAATGAATATATCTATCTTCTGACGTTTGTATTTATGAGTTCTTACAGTTACTTTAAAGATTTTAGCAATGGAATAGTATGCTAAGTGAGCAGTGAATGCTGCTTCCCTGTCTTCATACTGCTCCCTGAACCAACTTCCCATGTTAGTCATGTATGTGACCAGTTTGATTTACTTCCTTCTACATCATTTTCTACACATCCATATTTTAATGTGTATATGTGTATAGACACATACATGTGATTTTCTTGTGTGTATATGTACTTATATAGCTCTGGATCACTGACTTCACGAAAATAGGATTATATTCATATTAGCCTGCAGTTTGCTTCTTTCATCTAACAATATTTGAGGGTCTTCCCTCCAGGACAGAGCATATGGTCATGTTATCATATGGTCATGTTATCATATGGACAGACGGACCATAGGTTGTTAAGCCATTCCATTCCTGAAGGACTTAGCAGTGTCTCCTGTTTCCCCTTTACAATAAAACAACAATGAAAAATCTCTGCTCATAAATCTTTGTACATTTCTCTCAAGGTTCATATTTCTGTAAGTAGAGTTTTGGGGTAAAGGGTACATTTAAAATTGAATCAGCACTAAGTTATACTTCAAATAATAATAACTATTATTAGAATTTAATCATTCTTTATTACTTTTTCCCTTTTCTTTTGTTTGGTTTTAGCCTTTTTCACATGTTTTTTATTCTTTGACAATTTCCTACATGAATATAATATGTCTTCATCATATACAAGACCTGTGGCACAGCCTGAATCTCCTGCCTCACTCTCCCAAATGCTGAGATTACAACCCTGTGCCAACACATTTGGCTTTATTAAAGTTTTTTATATAGTCTAATTCAATCAAAGATCTCAGTAAACGTCTCAATCGTACATGAGGCAACAAAGGTTCTAGAAGGTTCAGTTTAGGTTCAATGCCCCAGAGGAGATAACACTCTCTGTACCCGCAAGAACTCAAGCATGCAGGTTCTTACTAACACCCAGGACCACATTTGGGCGAAATGAGTTTGAATACAACATATATTTCCATCAGCCACACTGATAAGTAGGAAAGGACTATTATCTCACTTTCTTCACATACTTTCAGCAAGAACAGCAAAAAAAAAATAAAAAATTAAAAATTAAAAAAAAAAAAAGGACAGTAAGTTCCAAAAAGAGACGACACATGCGAGGGCAGGAAGCACCTTTGCACCCCGGGGAGCACAGACACTTGGAGCTGAAGACACCCTAAGTTCAGCTACCGAGCAAGCAAGTGCAGTGGAAAGACTCTGACACGGGATAACCTCAGCAAAAACCTTCCACAGCTCCGTGGTGGGCTGTATGAAAACTTTCTTGGTTCTAAGTATCTCCATGTGGCATCCAGAATGAATGCCAGTACTGAAACCAAATTCTGAAGAGAAATATCAGAAAAGAACTAACATCCCACAATGAAGAAACATCTTCAAAGAAGATGTTGTTATAAAAATACCACAAAAGTACTTTCCAATAAATTCCAGACCTAAAAGTAAAGCTTTAAAATGAGACTCCAAGCACAAGGTCCTGAATCCTCTGCTATGTGCCTAGAGAGGCCCGTTTAGAGGAAGTACTTCTAAGCAGATAGCATTGCCTTTTTTAAAAGGAGACTTTGGGGTCCAGCAAGGAGAGAATAGGAAAAGGCACCTGCATCTTTAGAAATTAGAATGGTCTAGAACCATTGTAGAAGCAAACTTCTGCAAAAGGCCAGAGGGTCAATATTTTTAGGCCACACTTGTGTTGGAATTACTTTGAAGCTGTCATGCAGAATGGCTGAGTAATACATAAGCAAAGAAGCATGCATAGTTGTGTTCTACTGCAATCTGAGTGAACAAGGAATTACGAATCTCATAACAAAATTAGGAAAATTACTAACTATTCCTAACTGTTAACTATTACTGTAATTTTGCCAACTATTAAAAAGTCTGAAATCCATCTTCAGTAAATGAACTCAAGCAGTGGGCTGGATTTAGCTGGCAGTCCATAACTTGCTGACCTCTGGCACAGAAGCACCAGATTTGCAACTGAATCCAAACATCGGACAAAAAGAAGGAAACATCTCAGCCCAGCCCCTAGAAGCATTGGGAGAGAAGACAGCAGGAACAGTTGTTACCAAGTGTCCCCCATATTTACCTTAGGTCTCTTCTCTTGCCCAGCTCATCAGGAGGAATTGTCCAGGGCAGGCTTTGAGGGAGACACTCAAGAACCTCTGCAGAGAAATCAGAGAAGTCCACACCATATTCTGTCAGGATCCCTTCTGTTTCAGGCTCGATTTCACCAGCCTGCCCAAGACTCTTAGCCAGTTGCCTGTGGATAGAGCAGAGAGTGGACAACTGTATTAGTGAACAAAGAAATGTAGGCCCCAGTCTCTCCTCTAAAATGAGTAATTATGAAAGTCCTTATGAAGTCCATGACCATAGTATAATTGTATCTTCCAGAACAAAGTCTGACCAGGGGAAGAGGGCAGAAGGCAGAACTTCTTAGAACTTCTGCCATTTTCCTCATGGAGAAGACAAAATTGGTCCCAAACACCTTTGTTTTGACAGTCCCATTATATAGCCCAGGCTGCCCTCCCAATGGGGATTCTGCTTCAGCCTCCCACGTGCTGGGATTATAGGTACATGCCAGCACAACCAGCTTCAACAGTGATACTATGAAATCTCTGCAGGGATCTTTTGGCAAGCTCCTTTAGAAAAGTTTAACCAACTTAGTTTGCTGCTAAATTATGATGATTAGAGGAAAGGAGGAAATAGCTCAGCCCAGTCCCTAGAAACATTAGGGGAGAAGACAGAGCTCAAATTATGAGCTTCAGATGCTTATAAATACCTTAGGTCATGCTCACTAAGTTAGAGCTGAAGTTCATACTTGTTTTGCCATTCTATTAGAATTTACCTTTAAAATGTTAAAGTATTTTATCCAAACACAAAAGTTATGTTTATTATGGAGAAAATAAACTGAAAGAAAATTTAAGTCTACAATCCAGCCATGCAGCAAGCTACTATTCATATTTATTTTAGGCTTGGCCTTTTACAAAACAAGATGGTGCTGGGTGTGGTAGTACACAGACAAGTAGATCTCTGTGAGTTCCAGCCCAGCATGCTTTACATAGTGAGTTCCAGCCCAGCCAAGACCACATAGTAAGACTGTCTTAAAACAAAACAAAAAAACCTACAACAACAAAAAACCCAAGATGGCATATACTAGGGCAGTCCTGACATTATGACTTGAATTCTATCTTTTAAAAGGTGTGTCTCATATATTAAAATGGATAAATTGAGAGCTAAGGACCAGAAATGAGAAAGAACATATAACATTTGTCTTTCTGGGTCTGGGTTACTTCACTCAGTATAATATGTTCTTGCTCTGTCCATTCACCTGCAATTTCATGATTTCACTTTTCTTTAACGTTGGGTAGAGTCCCATTGTGTATATACACTCTATGTTCTCATCATCAACTGAAGGGCATTCACACTTAGGCCTTGTTTCCATTTCCTAGCTACCTGGGACTGAGTGGCAGTGAACATGGCTCAGCAAGCATCTGTAGAGTAGGATGCTGAATCTTTTGGGCATGCGCCAAGGAGGAGAATTAGTTTGATCATATGCTCTATCTACTTTTAGCTTTTTGGGAATTCTCCACTCTGACTTTCATGGTGGCTTCACCAGTTCATAGTCCCACCAACAGTGAACAAGGGTATTAGCACAACAAGTCAAAATTCAGAGAACAATTGACCAGGGTGTGCTCAGTCCCAGTTGATACATCTACAACACAACTCCTGCACATAAAACTCAGGAAACATCATGGGAAAGGGGGCTGGAAAAATTGTAAGAGTCAGAAGAGCAGGAAGTCTGTGGTGAAACTGTGCCTTCTAGCTCTGACAAGGAAGCTGCACCCATGAAGTTTCAACACAGCTGCCTAAAGAAGACCTAAATAATCCCAACAACAGTCAACATCCCACTATAAATGAGTGAACTCGTATGTGGCCCCACCCCTAGATGAAGAGCTATAATTAACAACTGCTGATAAAAGGAAAATTAGTATCCCCAGGGCTGAACCCACCGACTGAACACCAGTTGGTCAGCCCTAGAAACATATACATGCAGGCAACAATGAATGAACTCAGCAGGTTGTATTTAAATATTTATTTGTTTATATATATACCTAACAATAATGGTTAAAGAAGAGGTGGACCCATGAATTTGGGAGGGAGTGGGGGCATAGAAGGGGCAGGAGGAAGACAAAGAAATAATGTAATTATATTTTAATTAAATAAAAAATAAAATGGATAGTTCTCTACTTTTGTAAGAATTCTCATCCACATACAGATTCAAGTGTGAACTCAGCGTCAAATCCAGACACAAATCAGAAACATGATACCATGTAGCTGTCTCTGGAAAGGGTGTTGGGGAAACCATAAATAGCCACCTTCTCTGTAACACATGCCTGTTTATCCACTAGGATGATCAGGGAGTCTACCTTTAGCTCCTCCTGCAAGGAGCCTCAATTTGGCATTAGGGCCTTTAGCAGAGTCATTCAATTTCTGTGACTAAGATTTTGTTTCCTATATTAAGGGTGGATGCCAGGCTGCCAGACTTCTTAGGTGCACAGCAGTAAATGAGAATCCAGGGTCTTTTGTCTTATTGGCAGACTCCTGTGGCCTGTACTAGAATACAGAAGTTGTTGCAGTTGGGCTTGTCTCACTTCTCACACAAAGCCATCGAAGAGCAGCTCCACAGTCCACATTCACCCGCTTACCAGCCCATACCCTCTAGGGACACTGTGTAGTACCCACAGTCAAGACTCTAACCTTAGAAACTGTAAGCCTAATTAAATGCTTGCCTTTTTTTTTTTTTTTAATAAATTGCCTTGTTCATGATGTTTTATCATAGCAATAGAAACTCTAAGACAAAGGGCAATTAGAATCCAGGTAAGTAACAGGAAAGAGAAAAATAAAGAAACAAAAACTAATAGACAGAAAAGAAACAAACTGTTAGGAAGAGTAAAATAGATGAGACCCTAGTTAGACGAGTCAAGAAAAACAGTGAGGCAAAGACACAAGTTCTAAGTATCAGAATAAGAGTGGGACATCATCAACATCCTGCAAGCATGAGAAGGATAAGGGAGTGACTAGTGATTTTTATCCAATAAATCCAATATCCTGGAAGAAATAGGCAAATTCCTTGAAATATACAAACTGCCCAGGATTCTTCAACAATAAATCTTGTCCTTATAATGCTTACTTTTATTTATTTTGGTTTTTTTCAAGTCATATATACATACATGATTTATGTATCTATATACAATCTAGGAACTACAAATAAGAGAAAACACATGATACCAGTCTTTCAAGATTGGCTTAACATTACCTCCATTGTGATGCTCTTTCAGGTCTTTTGTAACTATGACTAGGGATACAATAATTCCTTTTATTTTGAAATGGAGAACACAAAAACCCTGGATGATAAAAATAGCCATGACTTCTTTATTTGAAATTCAAAGCAGCTGAAAGATGCCTCAGAAGTAAAAATGATTAGACTGATGTAAAAACGTAACATACATATGATACATAGGACACTGTTGTTGGTTTTTTTGTTTGTTTGAGACAGAGTGTAACTATGTAGCCCAGGTTGGCCTCAAATTCAAGATAGTATTTAAATTACACTAAATAATTAACTATTGATCATATCACTACATAGTTGCTGGGAGAAGTACAAACAATGAGGTATAGTACAGTTTGAGAGAACTATACCTACATGAAAAGAAACATGTTCTTGTCTTTTGGCACCAGCGCAGCTAAGGTAGATCCAGAGAACAATAAACATCAGTCTCACCCCATGAAGCTGGACAATCTTCTCCAGATACAATATGGCCACAAATGGTACTCCTATGCCTAATGTAGAAACATTTCTAAAAACATGGACAAAAGGAATTTCCTAAGATTCAGCTTCTGAAGGGCCATTACAGCAGTCCTCTGTCCATAGTTTATTTTCCAAGGTCTGAGTTACCCACAGTCACTCACCCATAGTTAGGAATTACTAGATGGAAGAAACTTAGAAAAAATTCATACATTTTGAGTCACATGCTATTCTGGGTAACAATGTCCCACCATCCTGCTAGGTCTTATACAGGGCACGCATTCTCCTTTTGTCCAGCCTATTTACTCTGCACATACAGCCTATTCATTAGTTACTTGTAGCCATCTTTGTTATCAGATCAACTTCTGTGGCATCATGGCACTTATAGTCAAGTAGACTTACTTTACTTAATATTGTCTGTACAGTGTAAGAGTGGTGGATTGTTATGATTATTCCATTTGGTCAGTTATTGTTGTTAATCTCTTACTGTGTCTAACTAATAAGTTAAACCTTATCATAAGTTCATGTGTATAGGCAAACCCATAGTTTATGTAGGGTTCAGTGCCATCTGTGGTTTCACGCATCATCAGAAGTCTTGAAATGCATCATCTGCCAATAAGTGACTATCATATAAATATTACATAACATTTAAGGATAGAGCGTGTTCAATTAAAAACACATACTGACTGTAAGCAAGGAAGGGTTAAAGGAAAGCACAGAGAAGTAGTTAAATATCCTCCAAGAAAATAACTACAAAATGACAGCACAACCAAAAACAGACACAGGGGGACAGCAACTAATGGGCCCATCAGCCCCGGGAGTCAAGCACTTGAAACAACAGCTCAAGTGCATCAGGAATACGTCTCAATAGCTTTGGGTTTGGGGACCTCAGACATATGCAGAAAGAACAACAGAACCACCAGATAAACAAGATCCTGCCAGCAGCCATTCTAGGGAAAGAGACACCACTTGTAAATGATACAGGTCACAAAGAAACACTTCACAAAGGGAGGACAATGAGGGAGGGAGGGAGGGGGGAAAGGAAGGACGATGAGGAGGACAGGTGTAATGGGTAGCCGGTCCAGCTTTGACCTGGAAGTACCACCCCCCTTTGAGGCTTGGGTAACTGTCACGCCTGTATGCAGAGCCGAGAGAGGACCCCTGAAGACCCGAGATCCGAGATCCAGATAACGCAGGTTCTCTTGGTTCCTGGATCCTGGATGCTGGAGGGAGACCAAGCAGAGTTCTCCAGAGAACACAGCCCGACTGTGCCACACCTTTCCCAGACCCTGTAACCTATCCCTTCACTTGTAAGTTACCCCACAAAATAAACCTCCCTTTTAACTACGTGGAGTCGCCTTAATATTTAAACCAATAGACAGGGGAAAGGGAGGATGATGAGGGAGGGTGGGGGAAAGGGAGGACGATGAGGGAGGGAGGGGAAAGGGAGGACA